TATATATATATATAATATATATATATATATATATATATATATATATATATATATATATATATATATATATTTTGTTGATGAGAAGTGAGAGATATTTCATTTATTTAAATTAGGTGTGCAATCTGACTCGAAATTTAATATTATATTCATTGCGGTAATTTAGCTAAAAAAAATAGACTTTTCTAGCTATTCAATGCAAAGACTTGGCATGGATGCACAATAGGATTAATAGATGGACTAACAAGTTGATCTACTAGTTAATAAATGGATCGCGATCATTATAGACAAATTTAAATTTAATCGAATTTTAATAAAAATATCAAAAGAAGCTAGAAAAAGATTTCATCAACTAAAATTCATCCAAACATAAAAAGCTAATGGTTACTTACGAGCTCGTCATTATACCATAAATATAGTGAGCAAGTAATAACTTTTGTATAAATGATTAATTAATTAATTGAGAATATTTTAATTCATTAAATTTTAATTTAACATATGAGAAATGAAGAAATAAAAAGTAGGGGAGTAATAAGGGAAAAAATAAATTAGACCATAGTGAGATTTGCTATTGCTGTTACTCTTTCCCTAGGTAGTGGCTGCTAATTAATTACAATACATTCATAATTTATTCAATTAATGGATATTTTAAATAAATATAATTTTAGATATTTTTCTTTTAAAAAAATGAAAAGAGAAAAAGATAAATTCGAAATAAATAAAATGAATTGAATTTTTCATTTTTAAAATATCGAGTATTTTAGCCATCTAGCATAATTATAATAGAGATATTTGTGATAGGAGTATGACAGCTAATTCCTTATGACGCTAAAATTAATTATAAATCTTTTGAATTATATTGATGAAGACTATTAATGTTAATTCTTCTAATTAAAATAAAAACATAAAATGATAGTCCACATTCTAGAAAAGTCCTGTGTAAATTCAATTGTCAATTTTCATAGTTTGATTTCAAATATGTTTATCTGATTAATTAAGAAAGTCGAATATTGTTAGGCATTTGTTTTAATTTATTTATAAACTATATTTAAAAATTGAAATGGACATATATTCCTTTGCTTATTTGTAGCTGCATGTGGTATTCAATTCGTTTCAATTTATTTATCATAGTTACTGTCTAATAAAAATAATTGTTTGAACATAATTTTTTCAAAAAGTTTATAAATATTTTGAATGGTTAAATATTGGTCCATTTAATTCACCTCTCAAAAAGTTATAACTCTCTTTACATATTATTTTATTATATACATACATGTCTAATTGCTTGAAAATTTTTTTTAAAAAAAAGGTAAATTGCTGTCTTTGAAGCGATTTTCTTTAAAAACTTTATTAATGTTTTTCACCCTTTAGGCTTCAATATTATATATAGTGTGTTGTTTCTAAGTATATAACTGAAGATTATATATCTGAATTTACACAAAACATTATTAATTTTACCCTCAAACTCTGAATCAAGCCAAATGAATTAGAATTGAGGGAATGAAATAGTAGAATTATATAGAAATATTTCATAGCAAATTCTTGAAGAACACTAATCATGTCTATCTTATCACATAGTGTATATAAAATGACACAATTATTCAATACTATATCACAACCGAACACACATAACAAATTAATTAAACCACATGGGAGTAATAATAATTATATTATCTCCTAGGCCATATGAACCAAGCAACAATTTCCTTTATTAAGTTATTCATAACTAAATAAGATCAACGATGAATTTACTGATTAGCTACAGAATTTTATCTATCGATAAATTTTTTTAGTAGTGATATATGATCTCCTAGACCATGGACCATGTAATAGGAACTCTTCCCTCATTAGTATCCAATCCCAAAGCTCTCCACACAGCAATTGAACCATCCACTACATTATTTTTACAACCATCTTTTGTGTCACATTCATCCACAACCTTAGCCGTTACACTCTTTCCATTTTTATTGGCTCGAATACGTATCATTTTTCCACACCTTGAACCATTATCATACCATCTAGTAGTCAACGCGACTACTCTTTCGTTGTTATCATGATATTTCTCGTCACATTCTGATGGACCACCCCCATCTCCACCTTCACTAAAGTCGTTAAGGGTTAGCATACCTGACGTTGAGCCAGTAGATGGAGGAGAAGGAGAACTTCCTCCTCCTCCACAAATACTGGTTCCAACGTCAGGATCATCGTTGCATTTTCCTTTAATGCATATTAATTGCCCATCGCAATCGTTTAACGATTTGCATGGGCCATTGCAAGAGGAAATGGAGTAAGATGAAGAGATGAAAGTTGTGAAAATGATGCAAAGAGAAAGAATTAAGGCTAGTTTTGTCATAGTGGCTATTTTTGTAAGAATTGATCGAGAATGTGGTTATATGAGTAATAAAGATATTGCAAAATAGGTAGATATATATAGGCAATAATTAATAAGTAGGCCATATTTACTTGATTTATTTTTTAGTCGTGATTTTCGACTAGTGATGTACAATTTTCATTTTGCCAAAATATAGGCGACGGAGTCAAAAATTTTAATTTTTGAATTTTTTTTATAGTAAATAGTGTTATTTACACTTAAATTTTGCTAAATAACGATATGTAAAAAGTAAACATAAAATATAGTGAAATACATTGTATTCGCTCGTATAATAAAAGTGAAATATATTTTATGCTTGCACATGATAATGTATCCATACATATACAATATCTTTTATAGCTGATCGAGTACATCATTATATCTGGTACTATATTATATTATATGGTTATCTATTGGCTCAATCAACTTCAATTTTCATGGTTTGCTTTGAAAAACGTGTTAATTATTAAGTAAATACTTTAATATTTGAAACTATATAATAAGATTTCATATCATAGAATATCGAAAATATTATCTTAGGTGATCCTGATCAATTTTGATACATTGTATTGAATTCACAAGTTGCTGGAATATAAAATTGAAGTTGTTGCAACGACTTCAATAATTGCTCAAATATTTGTAATTCCGATTTCAGTTACTTTTGTCTAGATCATGTATTCAAATAGAAAATATATTAAAATTATGTGTTTTGAACATACATTTTACTTGAAAAAAATTAAAATTTCTGAGTGAACACTGAAGATTGATTTTCAAAATCTGATCGAATCTCACGACCAAATAAATACTTGATGATAAATTTTCACAATTTGATCTAAAATATATGAATAATCGCTAGCAAGGTTTGTAATACAAACTTTGTACGGTAGAAACATAAATCAACAAGAAAAACATAATCAATATAATCTAAAAAGCGCAATCAAGGAAGGACAAGTAATTAATACACAGACCTTATCCCTACCTTTGGAAGATTAAAAAAATTATTTCGAATAGATCATTGACTTTCCAAAGCATAGTTTGAAAGAATGCAAGAATATAAAGGTATGATGAAAATATTAGAACAAGAAAATCCTCCCTCCATTTCAATTTGTTCGTATTTCCTTTCTTTGCCAACTTTCTTCGTGAACCATAATATTCAGATGTCCTTTTTACTTTCGTAAACTACATGCCAATTCAAAACCAGGCAAACAAATTTAAATGAACGGAGTAATAGCAATGATAGCATAATTATAATTATACCTACAATAACAAGTCCTTTATCCTAAAGTTCTTATGAAGTAAAGGCTCATTCTTACAATCACCAACTTTTTCAAACTCCACACAGACACCCTCAAAGGCTGCAAAAAGACCTATGGTGATCATATATCATATTACAGAGTCATTTAATCTGAAACCATGTAACAAATTCAGCTTAAAGATCATCATTCTTAGAATTAACACCAAGAAGTTTAGCTAGATCCCCGTTTTCATACGCCTCGATGGTATCTGTAAAGTAAATAATATTGTAAGCACAGGACTATGACTAATACAGAGGCAGCTATATGCTTTGAGTTAGCTTACCATCTGATCCTCCGATGTGTTTACCGTTGATGAAAACTTGTGGCACGGTGCGTCTGCCAACGATTTCACTAATGGCATCCTGGATGTTCCATCCATCATCTAACAAGAGGAAAAAGCAGAGTTTTGATAAAAGTTCTGATCAAAGACATAATCTATTGTTGTAAAACAATTCTCTTCACCTTCTACATTGAGTTCAAATAGTTATTGCTGCAAAGCAGTATAGTCAAAGGCAAAAAGTTATAAAAAGTGCTTCAGATCTATTGGGCCTTAAGCACAAAGAACAATTTAAGTGCAGGCTTTAGTAAAAATAAAAAAGGCAGAAACAAAAAAATATAATGTAATTCAAGAAAAAAGTATCAAATTCATTTGATAATGTTTTCCTTAACAACTACTACACTTATTTGCCGATTATATTTGTTGTTTGGTACCGATTCAAGACAGAACTCACGGGCAATGAGTGTGCTTGCTTAATGCTTGCCTACACTGAACCACAGCTTAAGTGAGACGAAGTGCCATCACCGAGCTGTTCTGAGCTGCAAGACTTAAACGAGCCTTTATCAACAATGCGTAAATCACCCCACCCCCCAAAAAAAGTCCCCAGGTTCAACTAACGAGAAGTTCTGTACCAGTTCTACTGCTGACGCCCACAAGGGCCTTCGACAAATTGGAATTGTTAGATGTTTGAAACAGCAAGATGGATAATCTAGGACATTATGATCATTCCAAAGTTTCAAGGGCTCGGGTTGCTAGGTGTAAATACTAAGCGAAGTGTAGAACTTTCTTAAGTGAAGTAAAAGCCTGTTTGGATTGGCTTTTGGCTTATGATTTATAAGCCTAAAGCCATATGTTAGAAATTCTAACTTATGGCTTTTGGCCTTGTTTTTAATATATATTTTACCGTAAAAAGAAGTGCTTATAAGCAGTTTTCAATTTTACCCGAACAGTATAAAAGTGCTTAAAAGCTCTTTTGGCTAAACAGTCTCTAAAATAAGCCAATCCAAACAGGTACCAAGTACAGACCTAAAAGTTAGCCCACCCATCGTGGTGGCTGAAGAGCTTCAATTTAAAGCAAACAAAAGAGAAGCAAGAGAAAATAACATGGAATGTCCTCCAATGAATTAGTTTAGTATATATTCTGGGGAAAACGTGTTAATTTTTCCTACTTGCCTCTCAATTCAGTGTTCCATTCCCTGCAAAGCACGCGCAACTTAGAATCAACAAGAGGAGGAAGCTCAGGACATTTATAAACCCTTTTGAATCCACATTTTCTTTTGGATAAGTATATAAACCCTTTTGGATTCCATTATACACGTGGAACATATACTCTCTATAACCTTTGTAATGAGTTAAAGGTTACCATAAATCTCTAAAATCTTGAAAATATTTTAAGGTCTACAAGTGGCCTGAAATTTGGTCTTATGGGTGATAAGCTGGTTTAAATGATTGGCTTTTGATATGACAAGAAATTACAGCATTCAACCAAAACTTCATCTCTCTGGACATTTGCGTGTAAAAATAAGGTTCCAAACAGTCTTCATGTGATAATGCATGCAATAACATTTCTCTAAGGGTGTTCGGTACAGAGGAAAGCATTTTCTTCAATTTTCCCAAGTTTGATTGGTCATATTGTTTTGGAAAAACATTTTTCTCTAGGAAAACGAGTTCCTTAAAATGAGAAAAGGACTTCCCTGATAGAGTGGATTCCTAAGTGACATTCAAATTTCATTGTCTCATCCCCAACCCACCCAGCGCCCCAAACCCCTACCCCTAGACCATCCCTCCCCTGAACCCCCACTCGATCCCACCCCCCTAATGTTTTGGCAGTACATATTAATGCACTTGTTTTTTTTAATTTTGTTTTCTTACCAAACACAAGAAAATAAGTTTAAAACCACCTGTTTTTCAAGAAAACATTTTCCTTCATACCAAACATACCCCAAGTCTCAATTCGCTCAAAGTGTTTCGATGTAATCGGAGAAGTCCAAATTGACCTTGTCAAGAAATCATGGAAAATGTGATTGACCGACGGCAAGCCTAACAAGATATAATCCGTTGTATCTTACGATTTTACTCAATTACTGAAATCCATTTTAGGCAGTTGAGAAAACCTTAGACATGTAGGGATTGATAAAGGAAAAGTAAGGATTGCGACTAGGGGCATAGGAAGGATACCTCTCTCATCAAGCTCAACGACATGAGGTTTTTGGTTCAATTCTCTGAATACAGCCTTTGCTTTCTTACAGTATCTGCAAAGCAATATAAAATTGATGCAAACAGTTAATACAACATACAATAAACACAAATAAAATAGTGTTTGCATGTCAGGTCATTTAATATACACTTTTAAGATGTTGAAGATGTACAAATAGGTTTCAAATAGGAAAATTAATGAATCTATAAGCCATATTAGTTGTCAGTGATTTTGATCTATTGAATCTCAAACATTCTTATACTGTCTCGCAAATGAACTAGACAGAATTACATGATAATTTTAGAATTGAAAAAGAGCACAGGATGAGCACTTGGGGAAAAGGTCCCCATAATTGTAAATGTAATCTGTTAGTCATTTTGAATGATGCATTCAGAAGGTAAAAGTACTGTTTCTCTGACATTTCCTCAGAATTTAAGCAGAGAGCATATTGGACACAGAGCATAATTTAGATGCAATTCTCCCAAACGTCATCGAGGTACCTCCTTTTAGATGCAAGACTCTTCAATATAATTTATGGAGAAATAGAAACGGAACCATAAACTAGAGCAGTTCAAAACTCAACCACTATGTTTTTAGCATACCATTTTCTTCAAAGACTTGAGACTTGAGAACTCTCTCTCTAATTCAATTTTCATAATCGTGTGGATATGACCAATATCTTTCTCCTCCAAGTGAAATCTACCCTACGTGCTGCTGAAGCCCCTGAATATGGACACCATTTACTTCTTATGAAAAGCTTGGTATCCATGCTCCCAAAAAGGGAAAAATATATCTCCAAGAGGTAAATACGAGAAAACAGAATAGAAGATAACATTTTCCACTCGTTAAAAAATCCTCGTTTCTCTACTTGGGGGCCTAATGGGTTAACGTTTTTCTGAAAGGTAATTTATCAACAAATGGTAGGAAAGAATAAGGATAAAATCCCTTAGAACCATAAATTTCTGATAGTAAAGTATTTGAAATAGGAATGAGGTGGGGAATACACAAACCTTAACCAATCTATGATCTATCTTGGTCGCCATAACCCTTTAGCAAGAAAGTTAGATCCTTGGGCTCTTTGATTAGACATAACATGAGCAAGGTAAATCAAACTTCTTCCTCTTTATGTAATATATCAATCAGTTCTATACTTTCTTTTCCTTTGATTTCCACAGCGTTAGATTCAATTAGACATAATCAGAGTGCCTCCATTATCTTAAAGACCAATTCTTATTACAATTAATAAGCTAAAGACAACTCAATAAAAGAAGGTATGACGCTAAAGCGAACCAAACTAGCTAAACCATTGTAATACTGGAAAATGTTCAAACTTTTTTACATCAATCCATCCAGTAATTAACTCAACTACAAAAACCAAAATCAAGATCTTTCTGTAAAGTATACAGAAAAATGTACTCCATTACAACCTCCTATGTCACATTAAAATCCTCATAAATAAAGCTTCTTCCTTACATGCTTCTACATTTTCCAATACTCACTTAGTCCACTTTAACTTTTCCAGCTTAGAAACTATAATTTATCACTATGTTCCTAACTTATCCTTATTATAAACTATAGTCATTTCCAAAAAAAAAAACATTAAATTTATTATATTCAAAAGGATAAATACAGTAAAATTGCTTCGTAAAGTGGTTTGCGAGTCAATACTGGACTAGTAAAAATGAACGGGGAGAGAGTAGTTTTTGTTAAAATTCATCAAAGACACAAACTTTATCCTCGCTTTTGGTAGATTTAACTCAAACCAATTAAAAAAGATCGCCCAATTTTGATAGCATTACAAAAGGGACAAATGAAACAAAATCAGATAATAATCTAAAAACCCATAAACAAAATCAGAAAAAATAGCTTAAAGAGAGAGAGAAAAACTAACGGGCAGTAAGATTTGGAGAAGATAACAATGGAGTGAGAAGAAATCGTCTTCTTAACGAAAGCAGATGAATCTCCTCCTCCAGCAACTGTTGATGCGTACAACAACACAGTTACAGATACTATAATTAACAAAATGGGTATGGAGGATAACGATGTAGAATTGGAAAATGCAGCTGATTTCGCCATTTTTGAGCTTTGAAAGAGAGTTGAAATTTAATTTGCTCTTTCAAGATCTCAAATCGGATTTTTTTTTTCTTAAATATATATATGGTAAGTATATTTTACCTGATTGGGCTTTACGATTTGGGCCTTGTTTTATTTTGTTATGGGCCAGGTGATAAAATTGTTGGATGAATTAGCCAAAATAACTATTTTTACGTGGTGATTTACGAGAATGATCTTGAAAATAAGTTGTTTTAAAATTAATTTAAAGTTTTACAACGTGGAGGTTATTTTTGAATTTTAATAGTAGGCGTCAAATGTTTAAGACTAGTCATTTTTAAGGATATTGACGGTAATTTCATGATTGTTAATTAGAAATCTATTACTGATTCAAAATTACTTAAAACTATATAATTTGGGAAACTTTCATATATAGCCACTTAAAAATAATTAATTATTCTTCATAGCTATAGTTTGATAATTACAATTTATAGCTACATGTTATATGAAGGAGAGCGAGACTGGGAGAGAAAGGAGAGAAAAGAGTAGGACAAATGTGATTTGTATATGTATATTAATTAGATAATTGTATATTTACATATATGACAAGCAAGACCGGGAGAGGGAGGAGAGAGGCGAGCGAGATCGAGAGAGGAAGGAGAGAGGCGAGCGACATAGGGAAGAGAGTGGGAGAGAGGTGAATTCTATATGTAAATTAATTCCATACGTGAAGCTACCTTCTCTCAGTTTATCACTTGTGTGTCGCTTGCACCTCTAATGTGGTCCTTTCTAATTACAAAAAATAGAAAAATATTATGATTCGGTTACGTCATTAATTTCTTCTGTCTTGCACATATTGTTACCAATAAGTATTTTCTGACAAAAAGATGTTTAACTAGAATATAAGTAATTACAATCTGTTAGAGATTTGGATCTCTAGTTTGAACTTTGTACAAAGTTTAGAATTAGTTACTGCCAGCAAAAATATATACTACTAAGAATTTTGCTTTTCACAGGTATGAATGATATCCTTCTAAGTAGCTTAGTATCTAATATGTGAGATTCAATGTGTTCTGCTCCTCATTAATAGACAACTGACTATCAGACTCCACGTTCGAAGAAGACGCGAGGGATGCAGTTGGTGAGATTCTTGTTCTATGTCGCCTTGAATATGGATAGATGACAGCAAGCTCACGAACACGGTTCAAGACCTCGTGAGGAATCCTGGACTTGCCATGCTTCTTCTTGGCATCAACCTGCAGCAAGTTTTTATGGACGTGTGTGATATATCAACATGGTTTTTGCATCATAATAACAAGGTTGAACACATCGGGAGACACCTAAGTTGGCAACATCTTACAGTTAGGCATCTCTAGTTGTAGTAGGGCTCGACTGTGTCATTTTGACATTTCTGCTGACTTGGCAACTTATCGGGCTCTACTTCATGTGTTTAAATGGTACAAGTCTTAGTTAAGGTGTATAAGTGAAAGATGGTGTTAACTTTAGGTGTTTCCTGATATGTGCAGCTGAATATGAAACCTGCTGAAAGTGTAATATATGACTTGATTACAAGTTTTTTAGGCAATTAACTTTCTTCCATTACAAACTAAAGCTTCTAATAAAACCTTCCGCTATTCAAGAATTTCGAGTACCAATACTGTCACAGTTGTTCCTCTTGTAACCTGAACCTCGAAATGGAATTCACATCCGAAGGATGAGCAAAGACAACCAAAAAGATGTAGTAAATCTAACAGATGGCGCATATACTTATCTCCGTGACAGAATTATCAGACCTAAAATCATAACAAGACAACTGGATTTGTTACATGAATTCTCTTCTATTTGTCAGAGACAGCATTAACTCCTAGAATCATATATTGAAATGAAACGGGATAGACTAGATGTGGCTTTGCCACATGATGATCCTATGATTATTTGCAAAGGAACATAAAAGAGAATGAGTTTCGAATTAAAATGAAAATGAAAAAAGGACAGATTAGAGGTGTTCAATTGATAGGAAGAATAAAATACCCCTCTCCGACTCTGCAATCGTTGGCAGCTAGCCCTCAGAAGATTCCGCCATTTGTCCTGACAGAAGCAAGGGACTAAAAGATCATACCAAAATACATGGAAAGTGGAAAATTTTATATTACTAAACGGTCAAGTACCTTCAGATCAGCTGGACTACGATGCACAGATGATTGGAAAAACATCTTCTTTATGTCGCTCCATCTGCCAACACCATACTTGGAAACACCCTCCACCAACTTTAGGACCTCAGTTGTTGACCAATACTTATTGTGTTTTCTGTCTTGGTTAGTTCCTCGGGTCTCGCTCCCAATGGTCCAATCATCTTCAGATGAACTATCAGTAGACTGGTCAGAAAGAGTGCCAGAAGGATCATCTTGTGCCTCAACTGAATGGATGTTGCTGTTATAGGCTCTGTTAGCCCTGCAATCTTTGGATAAATGTCCCTGAAGTGGAAAGTGAAAATATAAGCAAAAGAAGTAGCAATAATCTGAAAGAACAGCATCTAAAAGGAGATATGTGACTTTACAGCTTACACTTTGTGTCATCCCAGCATGAAACAGACACAACAAGGATGAAATGTTCGAGCAAATCAATGCTCGCCACAAAGAGTATTAAACATTGGATTGATGAGAGATACTTAATCCTAAACAAGTATATTTAGCATATGAGACGAGACATGTTAAATAAAGTGAACAGTTTTCGAGGAACATTCCCAACAAAATTTAACTTCCTTGGGAGAAAATATGAAAGGTCAATACAAAGTTTGAAACTCCTTTTTATTTGTAGTTCACTAACCTCCCTCTTGATAAGTCGCTCCTCAATGGGCAGACCAGGTGGAATTTGGATGCATCCAACTTGAAAATTTCTTTTACCAAGACCTTGTGAGGATACTTTGGCTCCTCTGTGATAATATCGCCGACCAAATCCTCCTCGCGAAGGTTTACATTTCAGATGTTGTTCAGATATTCCTAATTTCGTCCCATCACATTTTAAATTTTCTTTAGCCAACTCCTTGCTATCCCACTTATCCGGAAAATCAAGTTGTATTTCACCTGCTGCAGAAGATAAGCATTTGAAGGAATTCCATTGGATATGTTCTCTCCTTTTCACGTGTTGAGCCCTTGGCTTTGTTCTGAAATTGAATATACTAGCAAAGGCAGTAGATACTTTAAGGAGATTCTGACAAGCTGGTAGGACTTTAACCCCTTGATTTTCGCTTGAATCAAGAGAGGTTTTCGGGAAACAGTAATTCTTGTCTGACATCTCCTGGTTTTCCAAGCCAAATATCATGTGGGATTCCAGCCATTGCTTATCCGCAACCGAAGTTTGATGTCCAAACATATTCCTGAACACCTCAAGTAATTTATCAGTTGACATGTCCTCAAATTTGTCTAAAGCGTCATGATCGAATGAGGTACTTGCATCAGACAACTTTAACACATGAACATCACAATTTCTTTGTTCTGAATCAGCTAGCTTGTTCTCCAAATTCACATTTTCTATACAGGATACATCTCTTGTGACATCATCAAGGGTGGGAATCTCTTCCTCAAGTTCGATATCTAATAAATCGAGAATAATAAGACCAAAATTAACTATCGATTGAAAGACATTTACTTAGGACAGAAATAAAAGAAGAAAAGGAAAGCGTAGACTGGCATGATAGCAGATAAATAACAACTCCTTACCCAAAAGATAATCTTCACATGAAATGCTGCAATGATTTTCATTATATCCGTTTGACAATCCATCAAGAAACTGCATAGACCGGGTATCGACAAATGATCAGTAATAATGGAAGAGATCGAAAACAATTGATTAAACTCATTGAATACAAACGAATCAGAAATACTGTGAACAAATTAAAACAAATAAACACTCTAGAATATAGGATTAACAATTTATGACTGCTCACAAGGGTATATACCTTCTCCCTTGTTTTATCCACTTCACTGAGACCTCTTTGAACTGCATCTAGGGGAAAGGCTAAAAATCAAAGTGTCATTAGTTATCAATAAAACAAGTAGGGATTTGAAACTCATCTGATTCAAATAGCTCAAGTTGTTAAGACCATTACCACGATCACTATTTGTTACGACAGAGTCCGAAGCTGAAAACTCCTTAGTGTAGCTCTCTGGAAGACTGCAGGCACATGTGTTGAAATCTAGAAGAGTATCGACTATATCGCCATACTCAGGTTCTGCAAATAATTGTTCCACTCCTATTGCTTCCTCCTCTGATGCAAAATAGATAGATGCAGCACTTACAACCTAAAAAAATCGTAACAGTCTAGTTAACGAAATAATTTAACCGAAGATTATTGATCAAAATCGCATAATATTCTTGAACAACTAAAATTGTCAAGCTTAAAAAATTCCAAATACTTCAAGAATTTATACTCAAAGTACAACAACAACATACCCAATGTAATTGCACAAGTAAGGTCTAGGGAGGGTAGGAAGTACGCAGACCTTACCCCTACCTTGGTAGGTAAAGAGGTTATTCCTTATAGACCCTTGGCTCAAGAAAAAACACAACAAACCAGTCTGGGAAAAGAAATAACAAAAGAGAACAAAATAATACTGTTATCAAAGGACAAAAAGTAAAAGTTAGAAATAGAAATCGAAGAACAAGAAAGAGCAAGAGTAATGCTATGACTACTAGTATGGGAGGATATATGAAACAAGACTCAACTATCTACTAGTCTTCTACCCTAATTCGACTCGAAGTAAATGAAGTAAAGCAGTAAGGATATTTTAGGATTAATTGGACTAAGAGTAATCTAAACTGGTCATCCTCCAGAAATTTTTAACTACCTGTTCAGGCTCCTGTTGAGAACTCTTTGCACACTCATTTGGTGTCTTCCAGTTGTACGTAAACGAATCCATGGAAGTTTGCACTTTACTCGTCTGTCAAAATTTTCCTAACAGATTCTTGAGAATTTAACTACCAGAAACAGAACAAGAAAAATGTCAGCCTCAGCATGGTCAATTTCTGGTGTTGAAAGCTCAGCTAAAGGAGGACAGTAATGCAAGTCGCTTCGTTTCCTTTTTCGAACACATTCGGGAATCATAAAAAAGGATTTGATAGCAACAGGTCATATGAAAGAACTAAAACTTCACCAACTGGTATTCAAATGAAAACAAACTACAACAACATCATATCCAGCGTAATCTCACAAGTGATGTCTCAGAAGAGGCTGAGTGTATACTAACCTTACTTATCCATAACTCATCTCGCGGAGTTAGAGACGTTGTTTATGAAGAACACTCGGCTCAAGTGCACCAAATCAAATAACAGCAAATAAAGCATGTCAACTAGATAACCAAATCAATGCAGAGCATTATTCAACAGAACTAACAACAGCAAAATAGTGTGACGATCGAAACACAACAAACAATATATGGTGATGACAGATATTAAAAGCAAGAAACAACAAAAGAAAAAAACAAACTAAACTCATTAAATCACATTGTATGTTTCTTATACAATCAACAAGGTGTACAAAGCAACTAAAACAAAAGCAATACAGAGCATTTAAGAAAGGAACACTAATATCACGACACAATAAACATGATGACAATAACAAATATTAAAAAGCAAGAAAACAACAAAAGAGAACAAACTAAACTTGCTAAATCATATATGTTTCTTATACAACCCATAGGATTATAAAAAGCAACTAAAACTAAAAGATTAAAGTAAAGCAAAATATTCAAGAATTCTGATAAAACGCATGCAAATGCAACTAAAAAAAATACACAAATGCAAGATACCCACAAGACAAAAAGAACAAAAGAACTAAAGGGGTCTCCGATCATACCTTCATTTCACTGATTCAACCAAAAAAGATTCATTTTTTGACCAAAAATCAAGAAAATAAACAAACCCCAGATGAAATTTTTCGCAATAAATGCATGGAAGTAACTGAAAAAGCAAAAAAAGGGAATGTAAGTGGTGTCTCTGTTTCAGTAAAATGGTAGCTGATTTTTTTGGTGACAGAGGAAGTGGAGACGGACGTGAAGTGACGTGAAGAACCGAATTGGAATTGTGGGGTTGGGGTCCGGAAAAGATGACACGTGGAGAGTAGTGGTTGGAAAATTGTACAACCTTAAAAAGGAAATTAAAGAAATTCTGTTTGTTTTTATATGTGGTTGATCAAATAGGCCGAGGTCGAGAATTATGATAAAAGAATAATAGATTATAATAGTTGATGTGTAATAGTATCGTATTTTTTAGTGTGCATTAGTATACGTTGTTGTTTTTTTTCGATTACATTTTTTTTTTGAGTCGAGAGTATTGAAAATAAGCATTCTATTCTTATAGAGGTAAAGATAGGGGTTATGTATATCTGATCCTTCTCATACTCTAATCACTCCATTAATGAGATTATCTTGATTTTATTCGGATCGTAATTTTTTTAAGAAAAATAAATAATAGGTATAAAAAAACACATACACAAATAATAAATATTGAAAATTCAGAATCATAAGATATTTTTCTAACAAGAAATATGGTAAACATTTTCTCTATAATGGGCTCTAAATTATTAACTATGGTAAAAAAGAAAGTAATGAAATGACCAAAAACTTCCAAAATTCACTTTATTTTTCACCACTCATTTGTTATTCATATATACATAATTCAAGATAGGAGTAGTACAACACATGTACAATAAACTAATTATAGCATACATTTTTCATAATATTCGATAAAAGTTTTACGTCGATTCAAACTCTATACATACATAAGATGCTTTTATACAGATAACAAATATTGAAACTCGAAATCATATGGTATTTTCTCGATAATAGTCGATGCTTTCCCACCATGAAGTCCTCTATAGCAATCAACAATAGATTTTCTCAATGAACCAGATGTAGGCAATTGTTGACAAATCCATTCTACTAATGAATCCAAATCATGAGCAAAATCATGTATATTTCTTAGCAAAAGCTCTGGCATTGCTATCTTCTTGTTGTTTGTTACAATTAATGAAGCTTGTAAGTATTCCAATTTTGATTTCTCTAACTCACCTATAACTCCATCACTTGTGTATATCTTCACCTACATAATTGTTTTCATTAGTTGTAATAAATTAACATGTTAACATTCACATTTATTAAAGAAAGGGGAAATAGTATTATAACTTATAACATGATTTTCATAATCCGTTTCAATTTAAATGACGATATTTAACTGAATAAGAAATTAGAAAAATTCGTGGATTATCGCACTATCAACTACTACTAATCCTCAACCCGAAGCATGTTTAGTTTGGATCGATTTTATGAGTTAATTCTTATTTTTTTTATATCGGTCAAATTAAGCTCATTTCATTACCTGTTTGGCTAAATTTTATTTTTAAAAAAATTAATGGTTTGACTAATCAATTAGAAAATCACTTTTGAGCAATAATTTGTGTTTGACCAAATTTTCAACTTCTATTACTATTCAAAAACATTTATTTTTTTTCTGATCGACCACATCAATTATCTAAAATAAGTATTTTTAACTTCTTAAAAAATTTAGTCACACAAACTATCGATAACTCTAATAATTATGCTAGCTATGAATCTACTACAACTCCCATCATAAACTATCTTGATATATAATCATAATAATGTGGTACGCTCACTAAATTTATAAAAATTAACAAACATTAATAGTATAAAATAACAGTCTGATGCATAAAATATTTCAAACGATACGTAATGTATAGTATATAGAGACTTACTGCTGGAGAAGAACGTGTGCCACAACATAAGGCAAACATAACATTTGGATCAAATAATTCAAGTCCATGCAGCTCACGTACTATATTTTCTTTATCATTTTTTTCGCCTTTTCGATTCACCTAATTAATTAATTAATTCATATAATAATAAATGTAAGAAAAACTATATTCAAGAAACGTTTGGAAAAAATAATTAATTTAAATAAGAGAAGTAAAAGGTATTTAATTAATTACCTCTTTTGCTAGTGAATTTACTGGTTTTCTCAAAATAAAATGTTCAATTGCATGTGCATTTATTGTATTTCCACCAATATTCAGAGTTGCCTGAAATAAAAATTAGAAAAATTAATTCGAATCGAGATATTTGTATTTAAAAATAACGATAAATAATTTGAGACGAAAAGAGTATAAACCTTATTCATAAGTGACAATAACTTTTCTGGAGTAGAACTAGAAGGAAGTCCATGTTGAAGAAATCCCTGGAATTATAATTAAAAAGTATATAATATTATTTTAATTAAGTTTGAATATTGAGATTTATAAAGGAAATAAAATTTTAAAAAATTAAATAAAATTAAATATAATGTACATGCATGATACAAGCGTTGTACATGTTGATCCAGAATGCTAATTTCTGTTGATAATTCAGCAATCTTAAATCTACATTTTGTAGACTGTTCATCATAAGCCTGCACAATTTTCAACAATAATATAATAAGAAAATATTTAGAAAGCGAAAACTCGAAGCAACGAAAAAATTATTTTCGTATTATCTAAGTTACAAGTTCGAGCAACGAAATTCGATATAGACTATGATCTACATCACATTCCTTAATTAGGGGTGTGACGTTTCACCCAACGCTATGTGAATCAAGTATTTTAGTGTACTGAACTATTCTTTAATACAATAAAAAATATTACTCCTAACGTTAAAAAGAGAAGCGAATCAACAATTTGTCACAAATTAACTTATATGTATTGATAGGGTAAAGAATTGTAAATCTATATTATTTATTGCTGGTTAATTATAAGCTAATATATTTACTTATACACCTTTTTTTTTTTTGCTTGTATATAAGTTGGTAAATAACAAAAACATATATATATATATATATATATATATATATATAAATAAAATTGAGTGTATGTATAAGTCAAAATCAACCAAATTTAAAATCATAAGTATCTTATAAATAATTTTGATTTGATCAAGTCTTTTACGATTTTATCCCTAATATATATCACTCCTAATACATAATAACTCCTAATTATCTCTCTATTTTATTTTTTTGTCATTCTTCACCTTTTACATACAAATACTTCTAAATTTACATTTTCTATAAATAATTCCAAGGGCAATTCATCATTTTAATAAAACTTTCTTGTTTATTATCAGTTTATCACTTCTAGCCAAACAAACAGTGATCATTTTCAGTACTCGATACTTATCAAATATACTATTACTTTCAATCAGCTAAATCAAACAGAGTATCAGTTTATAAAAGTTAAAACTCTTCTCAACGAACGAACATACGTAGTAGAATCTCAATATAACACATAAAATACTGAGATTAGGGTTTTGAGGACATACTTGAGCTTTTGAAATAGAGGAATAGAGTTAGAATTTGAGATGCATTTGGGCTCCATAGATGTTGATGCAAATCTAACCAAATTTTTGTAAGGCCCAATATCTCTTGGAATGGACTCTTCTGAATCAAAAATACCATATGGATCTTGTTGTCTTGAATCTTTTTGTTGGATCAAAAGGCTTGTTGTGCTACTACTATTATTTTTTGAATTGGGCTCAATATGGGCCCTAAAACTCAATGAAAAATTGCTTGATCTACTAGCAATTGGGCCTGATTTTTCTAACTCCATTGCACGTGTTGTTCTAAGCAACCTTATAAAAATGAACACCAAACATTTCATAATGTTTTCTGATAATTTATTTGGTGGCCATCTATGAATTGTGTCTTCTTCTGTTGGAATTGGACTTTGCATGATTTTTGGTTGAACTTCATGTGTTGGAGTGGACATAAATTTGGGTATATCTCCATTTCTTTCTCTCTGAAAATCAATAAAAAAAATTATACAAATAAACAACATATTCAACGTAATCGCACGAGTTTACTTCTGCGGATGGTAAAAAGTATGCCAGATCCTTAGCTCGACTATATAAACTTTCGCTAATAACGTAAATACTCTATCAAACTCATCTTATATCAAATATTTTATGCAAAAATGACTTATGTTGCACCAAATATATTTTAAATCGTAAAAAAATTAAATAAAGGACTTACTCTAGGTGTCGGGTTTCTTGGTTCTCTGAGAGGTGAAGGAGTCTTGATCATCCCGCTTTTCCTTGAAATCCTTTCTCCAAATGTTCTAACTTGTTGATGAAATTGATTTTCATCTTCTTGATGATCAACAAGAACTTTTGATGACTTATTAATTGGTTGTAGCAAATTCTCATTATTTATTCTAAAGTCATTAAGACCATAATCACCTTTTATAGCTTTGCTAATAAAGTGCAATGCCTTTGTCTCAAATGACACTTTTTGATCATTTATCCCTTTAAATTTGTTTGGATTTGGTGGCAATGAATATGAAGATATATTGTTTTGTTGTTGTTGACTTTGTATTTTCATCTTATTGTTTATAAGTCCTTGTTTGGACTTATTTGCTTGATGATCAATATTGTTGATTTCTTTCTCTTTATTCACATCACATTGTATCTTGTTGATTTGGCCTTCCAATTTGGCTATTTCATTTTCAACCATGGCTAGTTCTTCTAACAATTCCTTCATCTACAAAATTTCCACTATTAGGTTAAACATGAAAAAGAAACGCGATAAAATTAATCAAGAAATTTCAATAATATATATATAGTGTACATATAGGTCTACTTTATATAGATACTAATCATATAAAGTTCATTTACAATATCAGGTCATTTAAAAAGTAATTATGGATCAATATATTGCACGTAAAAATTTATTTTCATTATCAGTGGATGAAATTTAAGTCAATTAATATATATGAAAATGATTTTTAAAAAAATTATT